TATAACGGAGTATCGCCATATCAGGCACACACAGGACGTCAGCCCTCCTTCCTTCCTGATCTCGATACCCTTGACTTTCCCAAGGGACCCGAGACTTCAGGACACGAACGAGAACGTCGTGTAAGGGAAGTCAGCCTCGAAGCCATAACTCAGGCTACTGCTGTAGCCAAGACAAATCGGGCTCTTAGGGCTAAGACGACTCCTGACGGTGCTCGCCTCTACTCATCAGGGGATTTGGTCGACTACCACCGACCTACTGCCACCAAGGACGACCATGGAGGCTGGAACGGCCCATTCCCGGTGATCCGAAACGTGCCTGAAAGAGGACATATTGTTGTCAAGGCAGGATCTCGTGAGGTAATTGTGATGTATCCTGATGCTCGTCACACACTATACATCGAATGTCTCCTCACACGGGAACTTGGCATGGATAATATGGCCATGCAAACCGTCCTTGCTTATGTGGCACACCTCAGCGCAGGGAAACCTGCCAAAGTTTTCGGGTATATCCCCGATTACAAGGGAAACCTTAATCTGTCAGACGACAGCAAGTTTCACCCGCGCGTACACTTAGCACTACAGTATCTCGTACGGAATTACTTCCGAGTAGAACATGTAGTAGCAGTTCGATTGGCTAAGAGTGTGTCAAGCCTACCTGCAGTAAAGTACGCCACCGGGTCTACGCTGATCCACTATGACAACGACATCAGCCCGGCGTTCCACTATTACGAATGCGTGGGCACTGGCTTAAACATTTCTCAGATCACTGGTAGCACTCACTCCAGACTTATTCAATGCTTGACTTCACGTGTCCCTTCCTTAGGATTTCACGACGATTTGGCTAAATATCAGCATCCAAGCAACACGTCTGGAGAACACGAGTCGCCTGGAAACAGGCCTTCTCCAGACACACCAGACGCTTCATCGCCGAGCGAAGGCCGTCTGTCGACAATCTATGAGGAAAATGAGGAACACAATATTGAAGCTATGATGCTGGAAGAGTGTTACGACGAGCTACGTATGGACCTTCATCCTACGACGATTACCGATGATTATCTTTATTGCGTCCCAACAACTATGCTGCCCGACCAGTGTGTGTTGGTTTCAGCATTTGTGGACGAAGATGATATTATATCATCAGATATGCTCGGAGACGAGCCGAAATCATGTGAGTCCTGTCTAGTCTCTTTTTGTTCAAACACAGCTGACGAGAGCTACTCTCTAGACAGTGATGAATACGGTCCTTACGTTGAATTATGCTTTACATCAGAAATGTCTAAAATAGTGTTGGATCAGACTCAACTTGCACAGCTCGATACCGATATGGTCGCAACGATGAGAGTATATGTATCCTCTGCTGCTAAACGTGCTGTGGTTGTCAAAGAAGATGATCTACTAACCAAAGCCGACATAGCAGCACATCCAAAGGAGGTTAGTGAAGCCTTATATACTGAGCTCAAAATCTGGATTGATAATCGATGCTTTGAGATGTACGATTTATCCAAAGCTTCCAACATCATGACGTCCAGATATGTATACAAGTGGAAGTTCGTAAAGATGGGTACCGAGAACGTTAAAACCATTCGTCTCAGACTGGTCCTTCGTGGATTTATGGATACTGAGGCTTTTGACGTGGAAACATTCTCGGGAACCGCCCGAAGGCAGTCCCAACGACTCCTGGCAAGTGAAGCGGCATGCCATCCAGAGTGGATCTTAGCATCCATGGATATCGATAAGGCGTTCCTCAAGGGTTTGACCTATGAGGAACTTGCCCATGCCACCGGCGAGGAAACTCGCATGGTTTGCTTTACTCTTCCACCAGGAAGCGCTCAGGTACTTCGTACATTACCCGGCTTCTCATCCTACGACGAAAGTCGACGCTGTCTTAGATACCTTAAACCAGGAACGGGTACTAAGGACGCTCCAAGAGCGTTCTCTCTCAAACTTCGTACGACCACACGAGCTATAGGACTTGCACCGACCAGCTACGATCCCTAATTTGAATTCAGCCAAGACCTTCTGACGGCAAAACATGTAGATGATATTAATATGACAGGTCTAGAGAAAAATATAGACGACTATGTACAACGTGTCGAAAAGGTGTTTGGCAAATGCAAGCTCAACAAGCACACGTATACGAATTGCGCCGTTCGCTGCGCTAAGAATGACCAGGGAGATGTGATCATGGACCAGGACGAGTACAGTAAACAACTACGTCCTATCACACACCCAGAACTTACAGGAGCGGCGGCCGACGCCAAAGCCACGAAACTCATTGCCGACATGTTCGTCAGCCTGCGAGGAGCCCTCGCCTATGCCCTTCTTACCCAAATCTGGCTCATGGTATATGTGGTCTCTCTTCAGAAAATTCAAGGGCCCACCAATTTGCGAGTCAGACGTTTGAATGCTGTGACGCGAAAGCTGATCAGCAGCTCGAAACGTATCACCTTCCCTCGGATGAAGCCGACGAATGAAGTTGACATCCATAGCGATTCGGGGTATCGGAAGCTTACCGGGGAGAGGGATGACGAGACCAAGGGCTACGGCATACGCGGGGCCAACGTACTACGGCGAGGAAACTCGCCTCAAGGCAAGTCCGTCGTTCACCTCTGTGACGGACTATGCAAATCACACCGATTACAGGTGAGGTCCAGTTATGCTGCGGAGGCACTTGCAGCCGCACATAACCTTGATGAGTGTTACCCTACGCTCATTACTCTCCACGAGCTTAAGGCAGGGGCTTTGACTCCACGACAACTACGAGACATGCGTGAAGTTGGAGGCCTTGCTATCAAAGTCTCTCTTACCATAGACGCTGAGTCCGTCTACAAATCTTTATCAAGCAGGGATCTCAAAATACCTACAGAACGGACTCTGCTTGGACATATCAGCTGGATACGTGAGCTCATGGATATAGGTATAGTACATAATGTGCAATGGTGTGATACTAGGGATATGACCGCAGATGGGCATACAAAGGGAAGCATCGATCGGGAGCTGCTTCTGGAAGTGATGTCAGGCACTCAGTCATTTAAGTATGACGTGAAGCAATTTGTTCCCTTTCGGGGCCCCGAGGACAGAGACAAACCCAAGTCTAATCAATTTTAGTCTGTCCTTGTTGCCCTCGCGGTCCAGTTTGCCAGCACGGGCGCCTACTATAAAGGCGCCCCTTTAGCTGCTCGGAAACGAGCCTTATATTTCACGCCTGGCAACGAGCCGGCTTCGTACAACTCAGGCTCTTTGCCTTAATACGCATGTGCTTGGTGAGGTATGGCCTAATTCTGGCTTACCTCTAACCAAGCCGATAGCCCTTCATTGTTTGAAGGGGCTGCCCTGTATTTGCGTGAAATACTTTGCGAGGAAACTCGCCTTACAGTCTGGTGTTTGACCAGACTGTACGCACTGTTTTCTTTTCTTTGCAAACAGTCGTGCGCGCGATCTTTGCGTGCGACTATGCTCTCCGTCTCCTCCCCTCCCGACTTTAAGGGTAGCTCTTTGGGAGATGTTACAGTATCGGGAGCATAGCTCGCGCGCCGCTGCCTTGGGCTCAAGGCACGCGCGCCCTATTTGCCCGGATACCTGATGGTATTCGCTATTTGCCCGGACACCGCGAGTGTTCGCTATGTGCTGGAAAGATCATTACATCGATCTTATCCTATCTTACCCATCCACCCCTCATACTGTACCTTCACAGCAGAGCGATGGATGCAATTTGCCAGGCTATATGCCCTATTTGAGTTACCAGGCTCGCTTTCGACTGATGATGATGATGATGATGATGATGATGCTGCTGCTGCTGATGATGATGATGGCGGGCGAAGATGGGCGATGATGGTGATTGTTGTGGTGATCGTGGTTATGTTGATGCTTATGATGCTGATGACGATGATGATGACGATGCTGAAGATGATACTGATTGTGCTGATGATGCTGATGATGATGATGATGACGATGATAGTGACGACGACCACGACGACGACGATGTTGATGATGATGCTGCTGATTATGATGATGGTGATGATAATGAGGATGATGATGATGGTGCTGATAACGATGAGTGTGATGATGTTGAGGCTGATGCTGCTGCTGATGATGATGGTGGTGATGATGATGCTGATGCTGATGATGACGATGCTCATGATGAGATGATGATGGTGATCATGATGGTGTGATGAGGATGATTATGGTGGTGATGATGCTTATGCTGCTGATGACGCTGATGCTGGTGATGCTAATGATGACGACGATGATGCTGATGCTGCTGTTTATGATGATGATGATGATGTTGATGATGCTGACATTGATTATGCTGCTGCTGCTGATGATGCTGAGTATGATGAGGATGACGATGATGACGATGATGATGCTGATGATGACGATGATGATGATGATGATGATGCTGATTATGATGCTGCTGCTGATGATGATGTTGCTGCATATGATGATGCTGATGATGACGACGATGCTGATGATGATGATGATGATGATGGTGATGGTGATGATGCTGCTGCTGATGATGATGATGCTGATGATGATGATGCTGGCGATGGTGATGATGCTGACGATGATTATGATGATGATGATGATGATGCTGATGCTGATGCTGACGCTGATGATGATGATGATGATGATGATGATGATGATGATGATGACGATGACGATGACGATGACGATGAGATGATGATGATGATGATGATGATGATGATGATGATGATGATGATGATGATGATGAGGAGGAGGAGGAGGAGGAGGAGGAGGAGGAGGAGGGAGGAGGAAGGAGGAGAAAGCGGAGGAGGAGGAGGAGGAGAGGAGTTGGAGGAGGAGGAGGAGGAGGAGGAGGGGAGGAGGGAGAGGAGGGGGAGGTGGAGGCCGAGGACCAGCAGGATGGCGGCGACGGCGGCGGCGGCTGCGGCGGCGGCGTCGTCGTCGTCGTCGTCGTCGTCGTCGTCGTCTGCGTTGGGGGGCGTCTCGGAAAGGGCTCCTTCCCCGGGGCCCCGCAGGAGCGCGACGAAGCCGCGGCGCAGGCCGCGGCGCAGGCCGCGGCGCAGGCGCGCGGCGGCGGAGCGCGCCGCCGCCGAGCGCGCCCGTGCGAGGCTCCGCCGCCCGAGCGCCGCGCGGCTGCCGCGCGTGCCCGACGCGGGCTCTTGCGGCCGCCGCGCGTGCCGAACGCGCGGCCGCCGCGCGTGCCCGCCGATGCTGACTCGACGCGGCTTTGGCGTGGATTCGTCGCGGGTTCGACGAGTCCGACATGGATTCGACGCGGATTCGACGCAGATAGGGACGCGACGGGACAGGCAAGGTCCCCCGAAGATGCAACGTAACCCGGAGTAGGAGGAGGAGGAGGAGGAGGAGGAGGAGGAGGAGGAGGGGAGGAGGGGGAGGAGGAGGATATGGAGGATGGAGGAGGAGGCACGAGGAGGGGAGGAGGAGGAGGAGGAGGAGGAAGAGGATGAGGAGGTGGAGGCACGGAGGAGGAGGAGGAGGAGGAGGAGGAGGAGGAGGAGGAGGAGGAGGAGGAGGAGGCTTCTTAAGATGTAGTCCCCGCCGTCCAGTCGTTTTTTCCCATCCCCGCTCCCCTTATAGGGGCTGGCGGCGCATCCCCCGCTCCCCGCCGCGCCCCTCCTGGTCGCGGGGTCGCCGCGGGCGTGGCGCGATGGGGTGAAGTGATGAGGGCGGCCCGCCCTCTTTACACCCCGCAGTCACCCTCCCCGTCCGTCCCCTTCCCCGCCTCGTCATCACGCCGTCCCTCTCCCCTTCCCGTCTGCCCCTCCCGCCCGACGCCCATCGCGTCCTCCTCTCACTTCCCCTTCCCTGATTCTCCCCCGTCGCTTACCCCCTCCCCCCGTCTTCCTCGCGTCCCCGACTGCGTCCTCCTACCGTTCACCGATTTGCTTCCTTCCCCGCCGTGCCCCTACTCATTCGTCCTCCCTCCGACTCCCTTCTGGGGACTTGACTGTGTGTCGTTCATTTATCAAATGCAGAGAAGTAGGATCTCTATATTTTCCGGGGAAACCAGGACGATCATGCTTGTGAGGATGCTCATGATATGGTAACACGATTGATAGTGAAGATGCGGACGTTGACGAGGAGCGGGAGCTTGATCGTCTTGATGATGATTCGGATGATGATGATGATGATGATGATGATGATGATGCTGATGATGATGATGATGATGATGATGCTGATGCTGATGATGCTGATGATGATGATGACGACAATGACGCTACTGCTGCTGCTGATGATGCTGATTTTGAACGTGCTGACCGCCGATCGCCTATCACATGCGTTCGCCGACTAAGATGATGATGCAGATGATGACGATGGTGATTCTGCCGATGATGATGCTGATGTTGATGAGGATGAGGATAGGGATGAGGATGATGAGGATGCTGATGATGCTGCTGCTGATGACGATGCTGCTGCTGAGGATGAGGATGATGATCATGCTGATGATGATGATGCTGATGATGATGATGATGATGACGACGATGATGATGATGATGATGATGATGCTGATGATGATGATGATGATGATGATGATGATGATGCTGATGATGATGCTGATGATGATGATGATGATGATGATGATGATGATGATGATGATGATGATGATGATGATGATGATGATGATGATGATGATGATGATGATGATGATGATGATGATGATGATGATGATGATGATGATGATGATGATGATGATGATGATGATGATGATGATGATGATGATGATGATGATGATGATGATGATGATGATGATGATGATGATGATGATGATGATGATGATGATGATGATTTTGCTGGTGATTTTGCTGGTGGCGGAACCCTCGGGTGGATGAGGCCCCACGGGTGCGGACGCCCTCCGCCGCCTGGCTCGGTCCAGCGACGGACGCCTTGGAGAAGAGGCGGGCGACGGGGCGGCTCGCCTTTTCCAGCAGCGTGGCCATTCGCAGGGCTACGGCACGAGCTGTGCTGCGTAGGCACTCAGAGCCCCCCGACTATGGGAGCGCGCTGTCCGCTGCTCTCAACCTGCTGGTGGCTCCGGGCGACGACGACGCCTAGCCTTCCTCGTCCCTCTCCCCTGTTTTTCCGCCTCCCTCCTTTCCCGCCCCCCCCTTCCCCCCCTCGTCTTCCCAGAGACTCGGAGTCGAGTTGTATTGCGGCGCGGTGCCCTGTCCGAGGTGCCCTGGCGGGATAGCGCCCCAAACCAGGGAGTTGCAACAATCTCCCTCCGATGGGCCCCGCGCCCGCGCCAGAGTTTCTGTCAGCTGCCCCTCCTGCCCGACCATAATTATTCGGCGCGTGTTCCTTCCTCTCTTTTCCCCCCCCTTTCCTTTTTTCTCCCGCTCCTTGCCTCCCCTGTCGGGCGCGCGCGCCTCACGGTGGGGGTCGGTGGCTCAGGTCCCACGGCCGCGCGCCCGCTTCCTTCGCCTTCCGGTTCCTCTCCTTTTCCCCCTCGCTCCCCCTCCAGGGTATCCCCTCTAATCGTCAGGCGTCTTTGCTCGCGCTCGGAGTTTCACCCCCCCCCTTTCCACCTGCCGGGGCGGCGGGGCCGGACAGGTGGTGTGCAGTCTGTTGGCCGTCCTTCCGCTTTCCCTGATCGGCCAGAAAGCTGGCGGTCGTCGCGGAGTGGCAGCCGTATATTGGTAATGCTGCGGATGTTGGCGGTGATAATGATATGGATGATTGCGCTGATGATGTTGCTGACGCTGAGGACGGTCATGATGATGATGTGGATGATGGCAATGACGGTGATGCTGATGCTGATGGTGTTGATGGTGTTGATGATGCTGCTGGTGATGGCGACGATGGTGTTGACGTTGATGATGACGACGATGACGATGACGATGACGACGATGACGACGACTGGTATGATGATGGTGATGATGATGATGATGATGATGATGATGACGGTGACGATGTTAATGATGGTGGCGATAGTGTTGATGATGCGGATGGTGACGATGGTGCTGAGGATGATGATTGCGATAATGCTGCTGATGATGATGTTGCTGGTGAAGGTGGTGATGATGATGTTGATGACGATTGTGATAATGATGTTGATGGTGAGGATGATGCTGATGATAGTGATCCTGATGATCCTGCTGATGTTGCTCATGCTGCTGATGAGGATGATGATGCTGACGCTGCTGCTTTTGTTGATGTTAATTTTGGTGTTGTGGGATTATGATGAGGATGCTGGTATTGGTCATGACTATGTTGTGGATGACGATACTACCTGTGATTCTGATGATGCGGATGATCTATACAGGCGAGGATGACTGTAATGATGCCGTTGGTGTTGATGCTGATGGTGATGATCCTGATGATTTTGATGTTGATGTTGATGATCATGGTGATGATGGCGTTGATGCTGCTTCCGCCGATGAAGATGATGATGCTGACGATGGTGTTGGGGTGGCGATTATTTGGATGATGAGGGGGGATCTGATGTTGATGATGCTGATGCTGCGGGTGGTGATGAGGATGGTGATGATGCTGACGATGTTGCTGCTGATGATGATGAGGATCATGGTGATGATGACGATGACGATCATGATATTCATTCCAATACTATTGATTTTGATCAGAACACTGGTGCGAATAGTGGTATCAACAATGATTATGTTGTTGATGGTGATGAGGAGGGTAATGATTTTACTGCTGATTGTGATGCGATGATGTTGGCGACGACGTTGATACCGATGACGGCGATGATGATCATGATGATGATGATGCTGGTGCTCATGATGATGAGGATGATGGTGATGATGACGATGACGATCATGATGTTCATTCCATTAATGTTGGTTTTAACCTGAACACTGGTGCGACTAGTGGTACCAATAATGATTATGTTGTTGGTGATAATGCGGAGGATACTGATTATCGTTCTGATGGTGATGCGATGGTGATGACGACGACGTTGATGCCGATGACGACGATGATGATTACGATGATGATGCTGCTGCTGATGACGAACATGATAATAACGATGCTGATGGTGGTGGTGATGATGGTGATGCTGATGACGGTCATGCTGATGATGATACAGTTGATGGTGTTCATGATGCTGATGCTGGTGGCGAGGGGAGGAGGATGAGGAGGAGGAATTGGACGAAGAGGATGAGGAGGAAGAAAAGGAGGAGGAAGAGAAGCAGGGGGAGATGGATAATTGGACGTGTGGATCGATGGATGCACTGATGCATAACGTCGGTGAATGGGAGTGACAGCTGCACCGCAGAGAGGTGCCGCCGCGGCTGCTGGTGGCGGGCCCGCCGCGCATGGGGGGTCTCCCGTTCCTGAACGGGCTGCAGGCCCGGCGGGGCGCCCTCCGCCTCGCAGCCCGCGCTCTCGTTCTCCTCGTCGTCCTCTTCCTCCTGTGCCTCTTCCTCCTCGCCCTGGCTCCTCTTCCTCCTGTGCCTCCTCCTCCTCCTCGAGGCTGTGCCTCTCCCTCCTCCTTGTCCTCCTTGTGCCTTTTCTCCTTCCCCTCCTCCTCGTGGCTCCTCCTCCTTCTCCTCGTGCCATTCATCCCTTTCCTCGTTCTCCTCGAGGCTGTGCCTCTTCTCCTGCTCCTTCTCGTGCCTTTCCTCCTCCTTCTCCTCCTTCTCCTCTTCCTTCTCTTCGTGCCTCCTCCTCTTGTGCCTCCTCCTCCTCCTCCTCCTCCTCCTTTCTCCTCCTCCTCCTCCGCTGCGGTCCGACCCCTCTCTGAGCCCCAGCCCGCCCGCGCTGCCCTCGCAGGGGCAATCCGTCGGACCGACGGTGCGCGCTCGCCTCGCCACCCCATCCGCCACCATTCCCCTCGCAGATCAGTGCAGTGGAGGCCCATGCCAAGAGACACCCGGGTTTCGATGGTTTTGCGATGGAGAGCGTGACGTTCCCACACCAGAAACCAGTGGACGTCCTGGGGTCTCAGGGTTGGGCTTCCTGTGGGAAGTTTCTCGTGGGCTGGCACCCGCTGTAACTCCTCCCTGTCGCACCCGGGGACGTGTCAGTAGGGCGGTCCGGGCGTTTCGCCTGAGGCTTGAGGTTGGGAACCCGCGACAGCTTC